AGTCAGTGTTGGCTTCCCCAGGCCTTGGCCTGCTGCCCAGAGTGGTTGAGACACTAACTTCTTGATTTTGTGTGAAGGCCCTCAGCCCAGCTTCTGGGAGTCAAGACCCGGTGCCGCACCCTGTCGGCTGGGTGTCCTGAATTTCAACTTCTTCCCTCATCCAAAGAGGGAGAGTTTTATTTTGTTTTGTTTTGTTTTATTTTGAGATGGAGTCTTGCTTTGTTGCCCAGGCTGGAGTGCAGTGGCGCAATCTCAGCTCACTGCAACCTCCACCTCCCGGGTTCAAGAGATTCTCCGGCCTCAGCCTCCCGAGTAGCTGGGATTACAGATGGGCACCACCATGCCTGGCTAATGTTTGTATTTTTTAGTAGGGATGGGGTTTCACCATGTAGGCCAGGCTGGTCTCAAACTCCTGACCTCAAGTGATCCACCCACCTTGGCCTCCCAAAGTGCTGGGATTACAGACGTGAGCCACTACTCACAGCCAAACAGGAAGTTTGATCCATCCTCTGGCCCAGAGGCCAGCCCAGACCTGCCACCTGTGGCCTACACCGGCACAGTTGTATTGGTTGCCAAAATATTGAAATACTCCACTTCTGGTTAATAAAGAGCCCACATAGCCCACAGATGTCTGCTACCAGCTGAGTCCATTCCCTGGGGACCCCTTGGACTTTCCCACATCTCAGCAGCAACGCTGGGGCTCTAGGGTCCTGACTTAGCCCTATGGCCACAACTGTACAAGTGGATGGTGCTTGGGGAATATTTTCTGGGGACAGCCCAGGCCTGGCTGGAGTGGGGAGGATGAAACTGGAGGCTGATGCTGAAGGATTGAGTGAGGATTTTTATCAGTGAGCCCAGAACTCGAGACTGGACATAACTAATTGTTAGCAGTAGAACATAGCCAAGTCACACGGTATATTCACAGCAGTATAAATCTGTAGGGATCTGCAGCAACCTCAGTTATTGCCTCCTCAAGAAAGAATCTGACCAAGGGGCATAAGGCAGAGTGAGAACCCAAGGCAAGTTGTAGAGCAGGAATGAAAGTTTATTAAGAAGTTAGGCCGGGCGCGGTGGCTCTCGCATGGAATCCCAGCACTTTGGGAGGCCGGGACGGGTGGATTGCCTAAGATCAGGGGTTCGAGATCAGCCTGACCAACATGGTGGAATCCCATCTCTACTAAAATTACAAAAATTAGTTGGGCGTGATGGCAGGTGCCTATAATCCCAGCTACTTGGGGAGCTGAGGCAGGAGAATCGCTTGAACCCGGTAGGTGGAGGTTGCGGTGAGCCGAGATCATGTCATTGCATTCCAGCCTGGGCAACAAGAGCAAAACTCTGTCTCAAAAAAATTTAAAAAAAAGAAGCAGCAGCAGCTTTAGGCTGGGAGCGGTGGCTCACGCCTGTAATCCCAGCACTTTGGGAGGCCGACGCAGGCAGATCACCTGAGGTCAGGAGTTCAAGACCAGCTTGGCCAACCTGCGAATCCCATCTCTATTTAAAAAATAATAAATCAGCCTTGTGTGGTGCGCGCCTGTAATCACAGCTACTCGGGAGGCTGAGGCAGGGAGAATTGCTTGAACCCAGGAGGTGGAGTTTGCAGTGGGTCAAAATCGCGCCATTGCGCACCAGCCTGGGTGACCGAGTAAGGCTCTGTTTCAAAAAAAGAAAAGTTTTAGAGCAGAAGCAAAAAAAAGTAAAGTACACTTGGAAGAGGGCCAAATGGGCACCGTGAGAGCTCTAGTGTGCAGTTTGACCTTCGACTTGGGGTTTTCTACGTTGGCATGCTTGTGGGGTCTTGTGTTACTTGTCCCCGACCCCTCCCTTGGGATGGGCTGCCCGGATGTGCAGGGGCCCGCCAGCATGGGAAAGCGGTGTGTTTACTGGAGTTGTGCACACGCTCAATTGAGGTGGTCTTCACTTACCAGCTGAATGTTCCTAGAAGGTCCTAAACCAGTGAAATGCCACCATTTTGTCTCTTAGTGCGCATACTTGAGCCCACTCACCCAACTCTTGAGATTTTATGGGGAAGCTGCTCAACACCAGTTTCAGGTGTTTTTTTTGTTTTTTGTTTTGATTTGGAGTTTTGCTCTTGTCGCCCAGGTTGGAGTACAATCGTGTAATCTCGGCCCACTGCAACCTACTTCTCCCAAGTTCAAGCGATTCTCCTGCCTCAACCTCCTGAGTAGCTGGGATTACAGGCACCCACCACCATGCCCGACTACTTTTTGTATTTTTAGTAGAGATCGGGTTTCACCATGTTGGCCAGGCTGGACTTGAACTCCTGACCTCGTGATCTACCCTCTCAAAGTGCTGGGATTACAGGCATGAGCCACCGTGCCTGGCCAGGTGTTTCTTTTTCTTTCTTTCTTTTTTTGAAAAAAAAAAAAAGATGGAGTCCCACTCTGTCACCAAGGCTGGAGTGCAGTGGTGCGATCTCAGCTCACTGCAACCTCCGCCTCCCAAGTTTGAGCTACTCTCCTGCCTCAGCCTCCCAAGCAGCTAGGACTACAGGTGCGCACTACCACGCCCAGCTAATTTTTGTATTTTTAGTAGAGATGGGGTTTCACCATATTGGCCAGGCTGGTCTTGAACTCTTGATCTCGTGATCCACCCACCTTGGTCTCCCAAAGTGCTGGGATTACAGGTGTGAGCCACCATGCCTAGCCAGGTGTTTCTATCTATTGGGAGATGGCCTTTCCCTGGTGCCAGCTGTGATCAATTATTATTTTATTTTATTTGTTTATTTTTTGAGAGAGCATCTCTGTTGCCCAGGCTGAAGTGTTTGGTGACTATTTCCTCCACTAGAACTAGAACTTCTTTTGTTTGTTCTGAGACGGAGTCTCGCTGTGTTGCCCAGGCTGTAGTACAGTGGCACAATCTCAGCTCACTGTAACCTCCGCCTCAAGCAATTCTCCTGGGTTTCAAGTGATTCTCCCGCCTCATCTTCCTGAGTAGATGGGATTACAGGCACCCGCCATCATGCCTGGCTAATTTTTGTATTTTTGTAGAGACGGAGTTTCACCATATTGGCCAGGCTGGTCTTGAACTCAACCAGGCATTATTCTAATAGACCTCAACATATCCTCGCAAAAAGTTCCAGCAGCCTGGCCTGCCGGCTCCAGTCCCTGCCTGCACAGTCTGCTCCCCACCTGTGGCCAGAGGGAACCTGTGAACCCCCGAGTCAGGTCAGAGCCCTCCTGGCCCAGAGCCCTGCCCTGGTCTCTGACTGCCCCTCTCCCACTCTGCTCTGACATCTTGGGCAGCCCGGTGTGCCCAGGAGGACCTACAGGGTCTGTTCCCTCCATGCTCACTCTAGATACAATTGGAGAGGCTTGGGTTTTTCAGGGACAGGACTCAGCCAGGTCCGAGCAGTGGTGACCGTGGCTGAGCTGGGCCCTGATCTTCCTCCAGGCTCCAAATCTCCTGCCCTTCCCTCCCCCACAGGCCACTGGGCATCTGTCCTGTGACCAGAATCCAGTTTCCCCTTTTCTCTCCTGAGCCCAGGCCCAGGGAGCTGTGGGTGCGACATGCGGATGGGGGAGGAGGGCTTCCTGCAGCTGTCTCATCCCCCAGCACCCTAACCTCAGGTTCCTCCTTCCCCAGCGCGCTCGGTCTCCAGCTAGGGGGTAGAAGTCCCCGTCTCCTTGGGGTGGCCTCCCTCAGGCCTTGCTCCCAGCCACTTCCTCATTCAGCAGGGCAGCCAGCCACCTGTCTCCCTGAGCTGCCAGCCCTGTCTCTGTATCTGTGTCACTGCCTCGTTCTCACCCTCTTTCTCGGCTTTGCCTCTGTTTTCTCCTTCCCCATCTTTCATCTTTTTTTTCCCCCTGTCCCTTAGTCAAAAACCTGCCTTTAGATCTTGGGTTCCATTTCCATCTTGATTTGCTGTGCAGCCTTAGGCAAGTGTCTCTATCTCTCTGAACAATGGGGATAAGAGCATGTGCCCCAGAAGTGCTTTGCAGGGACCGAATGATTTAATGCTTGGGACAGAGTGCCTGCATGTCATGATGGCTCTTTTAATATCCTTTAAACAGCACAAGGTTCTGATGATTAAATAATACTCATCACAGCTGATGCTTTAAAAGAGCTGAAAAGTGTCAGACCCTGCTCTAGGAACTTTAATCCATTTAATCCCCACAACTCTAAAAAGTAGGTCCTGTTTTACTCCCAGTTTTACAGATTAAGAAACTGAGGGGCCGGGCGCGGTGGCTCAAGCCTGTAATCCCAGCACTTTGGGAGCCCGAGGCGGGTGGATCACCAGGTCAAGAGATCGAGACCATCCTGGTCAACATGGTGAAACCCCGTCTCTACTAAAACTACAAAAAATTAGCTGGGCATGGTGGCGCGTGCCTGTAATCCCAGCTACTCAGGAGGCTGAGGCAGGAGAATTGCCTGAACCCAGGAGGCGGAGGTTGCGGTGAGCCGAGATCGCGCCATTGCACTCCAGCCTGGGTAACAAGAGCGAAACTCTGTCTCAAAAAAAAAAAAAAAAGAAAGAAACTGAGGCTCAGAAAGGTTGGGGCTGGGAGCAGTGGCTCACACCTGTAATCCCAGCACTTTGGGAGGCCGAGTTGGTTGGATCACCTGAGATCAGGAGTTCAAGACCAGCCTGGCCAACATGGTGAAACCCTGTCTCTACTAAATAAAAAATACCAAAATTAGCCAGGCGTGGTGGCGTGCATCTGTAATCCCAGCTACTTAGGAGGCTGAGGCAGGAGGATCGCTTGAAGCTGGGAGGCGGAGGTTGCAGTGAGCCAAGATCATGCCATTGCACTCCAGCCTGGGCAACAAGAGTGAAACTGTCTTAAAAAAAAAAAAAAAAAAAGTTGAGTGACTTACTTAAGGTTGCCCAGTCAGGAAGAGGCAGAGCTGGTTTTAATCTAACCAGACGAAGGTCATTACACTGACCCTCCTGTTAAGACGATGTCTGATCCCGATTGGGGGTGGAGGTCAAGTTTGCACTTCATGCACCCTTTGCCCTTCATGTCCAGTTGTTGGTTGGGGGAGCTGGGGCATGGCCTCTGGGTGACTGGGCCTGATTCTTTCTTGGGTTTTGTTTCTGTCTCCCCTCCTCCCCTGTCCCCTCCTCCCTTCTGCCACCACCCACCTCAGACTTCCTCCTTCACTTGCCTGGACGCTGCGCCACGTCCCACCGGCCCTTACACTGTGGTGTCCAGCAGCATCCGGCTTCATGGGGGGCCTTGAACCCTGCAGCAGGCTCTTGCTCCTGCCTCTCCTGCTAGCTGTGGGTGGTGAGTTGGGGGCTTCTGTGGCTGCCTCCCCGGTCCCTGGGCTCAGCTTGGGACAGGGCAGGGAGCAGGGTGGAATGAGAGAACCAAAACGGGGTGTTGGGACGGGAGCAGGTGCCTGGGCTCCCAGAGCCTGTGGCTTTCTCCCACAGCCTGAGCCCCCAAGGTTTGCCCTCCACTACAAGCAGCGGGGAGGAGGGGACATCTAAGGGTGTCACCACAGGACAAGTTGTGCAGAAGTAACACACACATTCTGGTGGTCCAGACACCAGCCCCGGAGTCCTGCCAGGCCCATTCTCCCCCTGGGTAACCTCCTGGCTGTCAGAATCCACACTCCCTGGCTTCTAAACTTGTCCCCCTATCCCCATCATAGCTCTGTACCTCAGTTTACCTTCTTTTTCCTCCTCAGGTCTCTGTCCTGTCCAGGCTCAGGCCCAGAGCGGTAGGCCTAGACCCAGCAGTTCCTCTCCCTACCTCCCAAAGACCTCCCTGTTTCCGTCCCTCCCTCACCCTTCCCAAACCTCTCCCCCACCCCACCGCCCGCCGACCTGCTCCCCACTATTCCCAGTGCACACATGCTCACCTCCCCTGACCCCTGTGCCACAGAATGCAGCTGCTCCGCGGTGAGCCCGGGCGTGCTGGCGGGGATCGTGCTGGGGGACCTGGTGCTGACAGTGCTTATCGCCCTGGCCGTGTACTTCCTGGGCCGGCTGGTCCCTCGGGGGCGAGGGGCTTCGGAGGGTGAGTGGGGCTGGCAGGAGAAAACCTGAGGATGTGCCTGGATGGGGGAGGGGGGGTCGGGTAAGCTCCCAGATCCCAAACATCCAAAGGGATGGTAATGGAGGTGCTGATTTGGAAACGACAAAACAGCCCCAACTCACCACTCTGCCTGTCTCTGCACCCCATGACACCCCTCGCCTCCAGCAGCCACACGGAAACAGCGTATCGCTGAGACCGAGTCGCCTTATCAGGTGAGAAAACCAGACTGTCCTCCTCACATCTCGCTCCTGCCTGGGGATGTCTGCCCCAGATTCTCCTTCATGCCATCATAGGGACCTCAAAGCCACTCTCCTTAAAGCACCCCTGAACCTTGAAGGCACACAGGGCATCTGTCTGAAACTGGGCTGAATGATCGACCACAAGCCTATGGTCAGCTTAAAATGTGTGAAGATTGGCCGGGCGTGGTGGCTCATGTCTGTAATTCCAGCACTTTGGGAGGCCGAGGCAGGTGAATCACCTGAGGTCAGGAGTTTGAGACAAGCCTGGCCAACCCTGACTCTACTAAAAATACAAAAATTAGCTGGGCATGGTGGTGGGCGCCTGTAATCCCAGCTACTCGGGAGGTTGAGGCAGGAGAATTACTTGAACTGGGGAGGCGGAGGTTGCAGTGAGCCAAGATTGAGCCACTGCACTCCAGCCTGGGTGACAGAGCAAGACT